TACTTCACGAAGTCCCTTCGTATTTTCGGAAAAAGTGTCCAATTCTGTAAAGAAAACGGCACTAGTTCGCAACTGATGTCGGAGCCAATCACCCTTCCGTATTCCACTCGTTATCAGGAATAGTCTTTGTCAAGAATATTTGGAGTGACAAAATTCTGACAACAGCAACCACCCACTGGCAAAGCTGTCGTCGAAGATTCGTTCCTTCGGCGGTTGGCCACGATGAAACTGAAGGAGTGAACGCATGCCAAGAAAACTAATCAGTGAACTGTGATTGGACAGTTTTCTCCTCACTGCAATCTGAACCACCCTCGAACCAAAAAACGCTACTCCCATAACATACGTAAGGAGCTATGAAATTATCAGTAGTCTTACTAAGATTGCTCAGCTACAGGCTGGAAAAAGCAAAGCTTTTTGTGTACCTTTTGCGGCTGTCAGGCGCGCTATTACTCAAATTCGTCGTTTTTTCAGCACTGGTCGCTTTCGATTCCATAGAATTCTGAGCAGCTGACGCACTAGTTCCCTTCGACTTTGACATATCAGACTGCTCCACATCGAGACCCGACGACGAGACACTGCAGTTGTTCAATTCATGTTTTGCTGCAAACCACAGAACCACCTCTCTATTTACCCACTACAGAAGGAAGCCCATGGAAGTAACCAGAGGGCAGCATGTTCCATAAGCTGCAATATGCAAGCAGTTTTTTCCTCATTGCAGTCTGAACCACTTTATGTGCAATTATATCTGCATCTGCAGCGCCCTGGAGCAGTATAATTCCTGTTTCATTGTATTGCAAACTTGGCTCGCATCCACTGGATTATGAACAATGCAAAACAGTAAGTGCTCACGGAAATTTTGTCCCAGTCACTTCACTTGTTGCTTTATCCGGAATTTCTGCCTCGGCGTCAACACTGCTCGCAGGCAAAGCATTTGCCACCTCCTGTTTGCCATAAGTTCTTGTGTCTGCAAGGTGAAATTCAGGTTTGAAGCCCATGAAACAGCTGATAACGTCCAAGCTAGTGATCCCAAGCCTAAGACTTCAGAGATCACACACAGTTCGGGCACATTTATGCTAGGCCTTCCATAACCTGAGATTCATGCCGTCCGTTTGCATGATACCCAGCAAGCATATGCAGCTGTCTTTTTTTTAGCTTAAAAGCTGCTTGAGCAGCTGTCTTTTTTTTCATATGGGAACATCTGAGTTTAACTCAACAACTGTAGAAACTGTTAGAGTAGCTGCGTTGCAATGCATCTTAGGTAGCATGATAAGGGCGCTGGTTTTTAGAAAGTCGGAAAGAAATGTGCAGCGGAAAATGCTTAGGGTATCTCTTCATGATCACAAGCTTTTCGGGAAATCAACAGCTTGGAGAATACTGTTGCTTACAAGCGAGACAGTAAAAACTGTTGGAGGGAAAACATGTTGCTCGCCTTGCAACAGCTGCTGTTGTATGCCGCACGTCAGTGCTACACATGACTAAGTGAATACCATTCTGACGATCTCCGAATGAAATCGAACATACACCAAACAGCCGGTGTGCAAAAACTGGAGGTATGCAGCTTAAGAGCTCGGCATGACTGCGCACTGCGCTTGGATGCACCTCAGTCAACATCGCAAATTTCGAGTCTTCAAATGAATCGCCCAGGCGGTGGCCCCGAGATTTTACACCAACTGAAGCATGAAGCAGAGGGAAGATTTTGCAGCCGAAGTATCGGAAAGAGTAGCATTACTGCTGACAAGGTGCAGCGACATAATAAATGAAATAAAATGGGGATTGGAAGAGAAAAGAGGAACATAACAGTGGAATATGTTCATTTAATATTCTGAAAATAAGCCAAATTTTATAATCTCATTTAAGTCAACCGGTACTTGCACTGTGTGACGTATGTATTTCATCCCTGAACTGTAAATACAGACGACTAAAC